ATACTATTTGTAACGTAAGGAGTATGACGAGGGTATGATGTGAGGTTGGAGAGGGTATATCTGAGCGCCGTTTAAAACTTCGATTACATTATTGACAATTACATTCTCCTGAATATGTTATTCTTTACCCAGACATATTCTTACTTCATTCTCATTCTATTCGCATCCCTGCACCAGCTTATAGGCTAATGCTTATATCAACCTCCAATCTGAGCCCCTCGTTGCACTGTTTTCCGAAAGAGAGGGAGAGAGAGAGAGAGAGAGAGAGAGAGAAAGAGAGACAGAGACAGAGAGAGAGAGAGAGACAGAATTAGAAGGTCCATGGACAGAGAGAACTGAAGTGTTTATCTATCTTACCCTAATCATAAGTCAATGTTTAAGATGAACGGAGCCGTCTTCAAACGTCTGAAAAAAGGGCTGAAGGAGAAGGGTCTTACATCAATTTTTCTTAGCTCTAATTCTAATGTCAAAATCCATGAACATATTCGTCACCCTATCATGATGTATAATTCACACACAATAAGAAGAATTACAAGAAGCAAAAAAATATTCGCGACAACAGGGTCGTTAATACATTTTATCATCATTGAGCTACCCGGTATCATACGTTGACCTTGTTTTCTAAATTTTCACTTTCCAGTTTCTGGAAAGTGTAGGGAGCGAGCCAAAATTTCGACATTTTGATAAAAGAGAGAATGAAAGTTTTATCATCAAAATATGACTAATTTCGTAGGAAGGTGATTGCCCGAATATTGATAATTTCAAAAATGATCAGGGAGGGGGACACAGACCCGCCCCCTCCCCGTATCTTTGCGTATAATGAAGCATGTACAATATTTTGTAGTTCCAAATGCAAACAGTCATGTCTATTTCCTGTTTCGGCATTCTAAACCCCTTTACGTTCAATCCGCTTTAACGCTATACAGGCTGATCTCTTACTATAAAAGGTTTCCGCTTCGGTTTCCATCATTTTTTTCAATTCGTATCAAATTGTGATGTATTTTTGAGAAGACACACACTCTTTAATACCCCTTGAAAACGGCAATTTCATTTCACAAAGCTTGAGCTATTAAAACATTTCCGGACGTTCATTTTCCCAAGCATATTTGAGCTGCCATGTTGTATACATCTTACCACAATCCAGACAAAAAAGTTGGACCTGGCCTTTAATTCTTGAAGAAAGAGAACCAATATTGGGACCAAATATGTGCTCAGGGCGCCGCAAATATTTGCCAAGTGTTTCAGAAGTGGATTTGTTCCCCCTCCATGAGGACTTATACTTTTCATCATTAGGGCGTGTGACAGGGTCATTTGCCCTGCCACGACAAACAAACATGGCGATTAAGTTGAAAATATTTACCTCATAAATCAAAGTTATCAAACGATGTCGGCCCTTGGAAAATTGTAGACGACTTAATCAGAGTACGAAGTCAAGGCAAACAGTGTTGTTGCACAGGATGCGTCATTAGCCTGACGGAGAACTAAGTCAGCGACTAACGTGTGTTCATTGACGCACCATCCGAGAGGGATTTCGTACCGAAATTGAATGCAAAATGAAAAGACCGAACGTTGCGTTGAATTATCATTGGCGTATGCGCTAAACATTGAGAAAATTATGGTTGCATTATTCTAATATTTAGTATCTTATTGACCAATATGACAAATTTCATGACCGGCTTTTTTTTCTCGCATAAGAGGGGGTAGAAACCTGTGCAGCTATTCAACGAAACGCTCTTGAGCTGCCCCTAGCTCCTAGACCCAACATCAACTATTTCTCACTTGTTATGAATCCTTAAAAACTATTTGTTATTAAACCGGTTCATCGATTATATCATTAGCTAAATCGAGCATGCCATTTTAACAACGGTTCGGAGGTTATTCTTGCCTCGCATTAGTTTAATTGCCACAGTCAAGTGATACAATTTGATGTCTCACAATTTTATTGAATACATGGAAGTTCGCTTCGTTACCTTGTGAGGGTTAATCAGATCACAGATCATTACGGTTATCCTTGAGATGGGTTTGCTAAGGAGACACAATAGCTCCGCGTCAATGTCCTACATTAACCGAATTCTAAACTTAAACCCTGGACCCAACTCTAAACCCAACCCTAACTTCAAACCTAAGTGTATACCTAACCTAAAATAAAATTGCAACGAAATGAAGCCAGGAGCAATTGTCCCATGTAATATGTTCTGGCGACAATTGCTCACTTTAAAAGAATTTCTAACTAAAGCCCTAGACAAATTAACATGATCTTGAATATACCTTGTCTCAACTCTTTAATCCTTAACAAAATCTTAAATTAATCTACTTGCAAGCGTTGAAGTAAAGGGTGCCCAAACTGGTCGCTTGCATGAAATTATGTACATTGTCATTGACATTGGAAATGAGATGTGCTCAATATTCTCGGCGACGAGGCATAGGCTGTATTAACCATACTAGCAGACAATGCCACCCGCCCTCCTAAAAAAAAAAATATGTTCAATATTTTCCTGCT